TTGGTGCGCGCGACATGCACAAATGAATTATTTTTTTCAACGTCACGAAGAAAAATAAAAATGGTACTGTCCGTTAAAGTGGTCAACAGTGGGGGCGCGATAGCAAAGGAATAACAGGGTGTAGTTTTTGCMGCGCGTGTTAAAACACGCACAAATTATGGTCGCGACAAACAAAAATTATACCCTAAGAAGCATCTCTCGGATGTAATGCGGATACAAAATCAGAGCTTATCCCCAGTATAATTAAGGACAACTAATAGAAATATTTTGGGACTAGTGAGAAATTAAACAATGGAAATATTTTTATTTTTGTCCGTTGGATGCCTTTTTTAACTGGTTTTAACTGTAAAAATGAGCTAAAAATTTCTATTAGTATTTGTACAGGGAATGCCAATAACTTGCCAGCACGGGAATTGTACTTAGTAACTCTAGCCACGACTATGAGTATTACTACATACTGTTGTATGTATTATTGTATGTGCAGTACAGTACTGTATTCCAAGCTCAGTTCCATCTTTTTTTTTGTTACGAACAACAACGTGTAAATAAGCTTTTTCCTACTACTGGTGGGTACTTCCTCCGGTCCCCTAGTATGAGTGTCATTGTGACCCTATTTTGCTGGTCCCCAAAGAGTGTCATTGCTATTGGGCCTATGTAGGGTTGCATACATTTAGTACCAGAAACTTGTTACTAAACACTTTAAGCTACTAGTCTTATTTTAACTACTGTAGTACAAATACTTGCTACTAACACCAACACCACTATGGCTGCTCTTCATTACTACTGCTATTTGCCACTGCAGCCTGAGCTTCTGCAGCAGCAGCATCAAGGATTTGCCTCCCTTCTGCAATGTGACTAGGATTGCAAATAATTGAAACAGGAAGCGTACCTTGCCACATTAGATTTGCCTTTCCCATGTGAGGAAGCCTGTAGTAGTTATTGTCACCTCCAACACTAAGAGAAGCTTCCATACATGCTTGAAGGGATAAAAACACATTATTCAGAGTCTCCCGTTTGCACTCATCATATGCTTTCTCAACATTTGCAATCAAGTGATCAATATCTTTCAAATGCTTCTTGTACTGCAAACTTTGAATAGAATTGAAGAATCCAAGATCCAGAATGTTCATATCAGGACTGTTTGGTGGTTGAGTTGGGGTTGCTGTTGCTGCTGTAACTGCATCCCTGATACTTGCCTTGTGGGGTTTAGCATTGTCTTCCTGGATAATTATTTCAGGAGGGGGACCACTGTCAGCCCCCTTTGGCCACTTATTGTGGATTGCCAGCAGTACTTTCTCCATCAACATTTGCTTGTACACATCACCGTTCACATTCTGTGGTTTTGTCACCAGCATTCCTTTTGGACGGTTGACAGATCTTCTTTTTGCTGGCTCTTTAACAACAAAAGGCCATATACCAAGCTTCCCATCAAACCAGGCATTTTGGCGCAAATCAAATCTAGGCCTTGCTGTAGTGCAAAGGAACATTACCTTTGTCATACAATCCTTTGACTTGGATGTAGACTTGGGTTCATCTTCATCTGCAAGTAAATATGTAGTTTGAGTTGTCCTCTTTAAATAGAACCATTTCTTGTCAACATGTATCCAACGGAATCAGTCATCAAATCTTCCGTTCTCGTCAATGTGACTCAATATCCATTCAATTGCTTGAGCTTATTTGCAGGTGTTAGTAGAGGTTTTGCACTCCCGTTATGCTTCTTAATTTTACCACACTTGATCAGACGTAATAAAGAAGTCTTGGGTATGCCCGTTGCAGCCGAAAGGCTTCGTAGATCGCCTCTGTCTTTGTGGGGAATATTTTGCAGTAGCTTGAGCTCTGATAGATCTCTAGGTTTGTGACCACAGTTGCCACGTTTCCTGTTCAAAACATCACCAGCAGGACAAGTAACTAGATCCACCATTTTCTTGTACCGGCTCCTCCAAACCCTTGCAATTGTCCTTGGTGAGACACTGTATGTTTCAGCAGCTTCTTTGAGAGCTCCCTTTGCAAGAAGATAAAGGGCTCCATTGTTAGAGCTGCTTCTTTTGTGTTGCAAAAGATCCTGAACAATTGCTAGTCTCTGGTTATTGGTCAAGTTCCTGCTCTGCTTCCTTGGAGGGGTGGATGTGTCAGTACCACTAGACTCATCAGTGCTGGTGGGGATTGTTGATACCGTATCCATATCGCTTGCCATGTCACTAGCTTCAAGGAGCTCCATCATCTCAGTTACCATCTTGTTGCTGTTTGTTAATTTGCTTTTTAGAAAGGATCAAGGGGGGAAAGTGAGTTAAAAGGAGCAAAAAACAAGCTGCAACAAAGAGACGAACTATCATCAGGTTGATTGTTGAGCAATGGAGCAAGGAGGCGCGAGGCGAGTGGAGGTGCAAGCCTTTGCTGCTCCCCCCCTTACTAGTGGAAGCAACGGAGACGTGAGCCGAGTCGTTGCTTTGCTTCCCCCTCTCAGTGGAAGCAACGGAGACGCGAGCCAAGTAGTAGTGGAAGCAAGAACAGAGACGCGAGCCTTTGCTGCTCCCCCCCTTAGTGGAAGCAATGGGGACGCAAGGCAAGTTGTTGCTTTTCTTCCCCCCTCTTAGTGGAGGCAAAGGAGACACGAGGCGAGTCGTCGCTTTGCTTCCCCCCTCTTAGTGGAGGCAACAGAGACGAAAAGCGAGTCATTTCTTGGAGGCGCGTTGGTGGCGGCAACAGAGATGGATCCCTTATTAGTGGAAGCAATGGAGATGCAAGTTGGTCTTCCCCCCTCTTACTAGAGGAGGCGCGCTGGCTCAATGCATTGGCGAGTCGATGAGTCACTCAAGGTGCAAAAGAAGCCGGTCTTACTAGTTGAGGTTCAAAGAAGCCTTGGTCTTGCTTAGTCAGTTGAATGGAAAGAGCAAAGTGAGTTACAGAAAGGCGTCGAAAAGAGGAAATTGGGAGGTGTGAGTGAAAATTATCATGTGGAAATAACATGGTGCACCATGCACACAGCATTTTTTCTCTTCGCATTGATTCTCCAGCTCAAAATCCAAAAAAACACATGAAAACTGCACGAGCCCGAATAAGTGCCAGGGCAATATTTGGGTTCTCTAGTGACCCACTATGACCACATAAGAACCTTCTCATTAAGTATGATAAGAATAATATGATAAAGCTCTCACTCTTAGCTTTCTATAGCTGCACTTGGGGTCCTTAAATGCCAGCTATTAGTAGAAGCCAAATGACAGTAAAATCACATTGATATGCCAAAAAGGGCCCTCTTTGCTTAGATGTAGCCCGTGCTTGAATACCCTAATACTTAATGCTTTATACAAATAATTATGCCACTGTATTGGATCTGTTAAGTGAAAAAAGAACCATTGAAATCACTCTCATATTGAGCTTATTTCAGTAGAAAAGGTGCAAACTGGACACTCTTAGCGGACCGGAGGAAGTACTTCTTATTCTTTCTGTACCATAACCTACCTGGTACCGCACGTTGAGTACGTACGGCTACGTACTTCTTGTACTAGTAATCGTAATTCCTTTGTTTACAATAAAGCGTGAGGTTATTCATGAGCTACTCGGGAATTAGACTCGACGAAACTCGTCGGATTTTTGTCAAGCACTGTACCGGGTACAGTACCAGATATGAATATGTATGTATGATACCGTACTACAAATACTAAACAAAATGCAGACTCGCAGAAAACAAACAGGGCCAGGAACGACTCGACCATTTCATATTTCGCACTCCATCAATAATTGCATAGCTAGAGACCATCCAGTGCCGACCTGATTCCATCAAGGCTTCGATTGGCCATAGCAAATGCACCTTCGGCCCAACCGTGAAGAGCCCCATCTGCTGACATCTCAGAGTTTCCATACCAAATGTTCACACCTTCCCCGAAAGGTCTACGAAAGGTGTCCGAGAATGCGTCCGAGGACCATCCAGTCTCCTTCATTCCATCTAGATTCCAGTTGATCATGAGTGACCCCTGGGGCCAAATCTTGCCACGGAACCAAGATGGTTGAGGAATTTCGATAGGTTTACCATCTACCTTGGAAATAATACCCTTGGTGGCGTTCCGGAGTTCGTCAATAGCCAACTTGATCAACGTGTTCATACCGTATTCAGTTTGGATCGCAATGTTGGTATTCGCCGGCGATTTTTGGCCGCCAACTGAATAAAGAAGAATTTGGTATTTATCCCACATCCAAGCTGTTTTTATGAGGAGAGAGAGAGAGAGAGAGGCAAAGATAGGATAATGATGATGAGAAACACGTGCAAATTTAAATGAAGAGATAAATTGCGGAATGAGCACACTATCCGCCTCACCTTGTCGCACTACTTGAGAATCTAATTCCGCGATGCCACCATCTGGACGATTACCATCTAAAATAATGCGATCGCAACTTCCCATACCCGCAGCGCCATCGACGATATTGACGCATGATGAATAACCCAAATGTTCTGCCAAGGAGTAATTGTGCCATTGGATGATGGCCTTGAACGATTCATTCGGTACAGTCATTTTCTTCATAGGTTCATGCCATGGTTCAAGGCCCTGGATTGCATCTGTACCGTACAGGGGATTGCCGACCGCATCAAATGGCAGCATCGTCAGGTATGAAATGTGTGTTACAATCATCGATCCGTCACTGAATTTCAATTGGATTGGGTTGGTTGGACCATCATCGTCTTCGACATCTTTGTTACTCAAAGAATCAACTTGTTTCTGGGCGAGGACTCTAGCACGAGCGACTGGAACAAGATAAAGAATAATATATTTAATATAAGTTATACTACAGGTCAATGGATAGAGCATGAACATATCTTTCTTGTAAAACTTACCTGCTTCATCGAAATCACCCGGACCTACACCTACGGCAACGAGTTTCTTCATAAAATGTGGGGCAATAGCTAAAGTTGAATATCCTGATCCATCACTGTTGACCTCGGTTCCCTCCAACAAACCTTGAGCAAGGCGTTGGTAGCCAATAGTAAACTAGAAAATTGGGCGACAGTTGAAATAATACAATAATCACAGATGAGTGTAAAATCACAAAAACAACAAGAGGCATGACAAATAATACAATTCTGCAGTAGCTATCAAGACTATTAGTCACTTACCAAATAAAGGAATGTTTGACCAGCAATGTTGACAACTTCAGAGGCTAGACCGATTAAAGCCCTGATTTTTTGGCCCTCTGGATTGGTATCGTAACCTGTACAAGATACTACTGCTGTCGCTTCTTCACCGGGAACGAATTCCTCGCAGAGACCACAATATCCCTCAGTAAAGTTGCACATAGGTTTCTTACAGAGTTCTTCGAACCCGACAACAGCGTTTGCAGGCTCCCACGATGGATTGTCATTTGCATACTTATTCTGAGGGCAGAACAAAGAAGAGAACGCGAAACGGCGAAAACAAAAATACAAATAGGTATTTTTTTATGAGAAAAAATTGAAACGAAAAAAAAAAAAAAAGAAACACACGCACACACACAGAAACACACACACACACACAGAAACACACACACACACACAGAAACACACACACACACACACACACACACACACACACACACACACACACACACACACACACACACACAAGTGCAGGTGAGCGTGCGTATGTGTGTGAATTTGTCTGTTTCTGTTGTTGAAATACTTACAGCACCAACAGCCAACATGATGCATTGTTGATATGGTGATAAATCCTTGTAATCGGCAATGTCGGATACGGTATAGTTATTGTATAAATTATTATGGTCAGTCAAGCTGGCTTCCATCATTCTCGGTCCAAGAATTTCTCGGGTGTTGTGGTAAAATACACGACCGACATTCATGGGAGTGAGAAGGCCATAACAACAGTTGGGCATGTTTTCAAGGACTCCGCAGAAGTCCAGATCACATTGTGCTTTCGGGTTACTTTTTAAGGCATCTTCCTTAAAATGTTGATCCCACATTTTGATGACCTGTGCGAAGACGAGTGGGTACACCGGACTGATACGCATTCCACCGTATTCCGGTGGAGCAACGTTGTTCACCTAATGTTGGATTAGTGTTAGAGTCAGATAACAGGGCATGGGTGTTAGAGACGGATGTGCTGTTGTCAATTTTTTCCAAATAATGAATTTGAGGATATTATTGCAACGAGATATGTATGAAACTTACATCACTCAAAGGTCGAACAGGAATACCGAGGGCACCAGCATGAAAGGCCGACATCAATCGCCCTCCCACATTTTGCCCTGCTTCATACATAGCGATGGTGCGCGATTGTTCCAGACCCAAACGCAATTGGTTGGCGAGATAAGCACCTCCGATTCCAGCACCAATAATTGCCATATCGTATACGGCATCTGCATTCTCGTCGTCATAGCAATTATTTTTCTGCCAGACATTCGGTGGGTGCGGAAGTGTAGACTTTCCGGAAGGATACAAGGCAACTCCACAAGCTCTCCAGGGTTCATTCTTTGGTTGAGAACGAATCACTTCAGAACAGACCAAATTTTCACCGCTATCATCATTTGATTTGATAGCACTTGTAGACTCATTGTTTGACTCCTCTGGACCCTCCTCAGATTCATCGTTACCAACACTCGCGATCTTGAGTCTTGGTAGCATGACCTCATCAATACCTTGAATGATTCCGTTACAAACCTTGATATCACGGTTCGTGATCATAGGCTTGGTTCCCGTGACAAGATTGCCACCTCCAGTTTGAAATTTACCTTGCTCAGAACATTTCGTTCGCGAATCTTGACCTTGAACCGTGACGACTGTGTCAGAACAGACCAAATCGTCGTACATAATAGTTTCCTTAAGAACATGAAATTGCAAAATGCTGAGGTAGTCGTCAGCATAAGATGACGGAAGTCTCTCAAACGCCTCGTTTGTTGGTGCGAAAAGTGTCCATTCACCATCCTGCAACATGTCAGCTAGATCATACGCCTTCAGTGCGCTACAAAGCGAAGAGTATTCTTCGTCGGAACAGACGTAGTCCGCTAGTGTAGCCCAAAAAATAAGCAAGAAAAGTTAGACCTGTGAAGGCTGCAGTCGAAAATGGTTGGTATACAATGGACGCACGTTTGATTGCTACATACAGCGACAAGCGCCATGGTTCGTTTTGCGTGTTATAAAAACTTACTGATCGAAAGACAATTGCTATTGCTCTGCAGACGACGAGGGTCCCTCCGGACACCACCAGCAGCATTTGACGAATCAAATTGCATCATCATTGCACCCATGGCAATGGAAGAGAGAGCGAGAGCACTAAACTTCATGTTAGAAAACGATTGTTTGGTTGGAATTTAGGTTGTAACTTTTCGAAACAATTTACTGTCTACTCCTTGTCTTTGTTTTCTGACAAAAAGTATGAGATCTTTGCCGCGTGGACAAATAATGGTTCCAAAAAGTAGGGAGGAGAGAGAGAGAGATTAACGATGTAGAGAAGATTTTTTTCGATCTTTCTACTGTGTCACAGAATCTTTGGAGAAGGTTCGTAAGATTTTTTTTGGGAAACCTAAGTACAATTTGTTTTCAATTAAGAATACTCATACTACCATCCTTCAGAATTGTTTTTAATCGGAAAAGAAGAATCGTCGAAAAAGAAATCTTCACTAGAACACGAAATTTTTTTATCAATTCAGTATGGGTAGAAAAAAATAGTCATCGCTCTTATTTTTTTCTGAATCTGAAACGGTTCGAAAAACTTTTTGCGTACTAGTCGTAGCTTTAACGAGTTCCATTGTATTTATTGGTGTCACAAAAACAGATTGCTTTTGTGCACCAGATGAATTGGCGAAGTACCGGTAAGAATGAAATCACTGAATGAACATTAATACTTAGTACTGTATCAAAAATTACAGGACTTAAAATATTGGAACAATAAGTATCTAGTAGTACAAAGAAGACAATCTAGTAGTACAAAGAAGACATGATCTTCTTTTCTATTGTTCGAGGATCTCATTTTTTACCTCATTTACGAATCTCCCTCACATAGTATGCTCGGGTTCGGTGCCACTCCAAAGATGCCCAATCAATTTTCGTCGGACAACACTCATACATCTTGATGTGAACTACAATTTCATCTACCGTGTCAATCTGTCTCATCATCTTAAATAATACTGAAACTTCACTTTCTTCTCTCAGGGCCTGATTTTCTTCTCTCAGGGCCTAATGACCCAAAGGAGGGAGGTTCTAAGGTTCGGAAAGATCAGGGCGTTCAATTATCATCTGTGAAAAATATGCCGAGATGTTTACAAACATATTGAAGGAAGGAACGAACGAAGATGATCGACGATCGTACAACCAAAACAATCCGTTATTTCATGATGCAGGAGTGTCATAAAAAATCACCTGTATGTTTTCAAGAAAGCGTAGTATCAACATCACCATGAAGCTCTGTGCAGTTTTGTTCCTTGTTCTGACTCCTGCTGTGAGTGCGGACGGCCATGCCGATATCTGTTCTACGCAATTTAATTGGTGGTTTAATACCGCCGATAATCTCGGACCAGAAGATTATCCTAAACAAACCGCTGAAGAGAAGTTGATGATGCTGATAGAAGAAGCACGTCAAAACTTCGGGAGGAGTGAATCCGAATTGCCAACCCCAAGTGTCTGCAAAATGCAGCAGAATGCGAACGAGTTTTATGACTATTGGGAGGCACAACTCAGAGTAATTAATGGCCTATCCCCAGGCGCTTATGCTCCTGGATTTGGTTTCCCCTTCCACGATTCCTCACTGCAAACTAACATGCAGTACCATGGACTTTCTCCATTGTGCGATGTTGACAACAGTATTCTTCAGCAACACGTTAAAAAAAATGCGAATAATGGAGGACCTGCGGCGTCGTGCGCCTTCGGGTATCCTGGATCAAAATCTTCTGTTCCAATTAATGACGATGGTGACGAGCTGGATGCCAGCAAATTTAATAATGTCAGAGGTACTTGTCGACTCAAGATTTTTGGGTACGAGGAGCAAGACCTAGAACTGCAATGGTGTATTACTGATATTTTGAATACCATGGTTGTTGGTGAAGCAGGTGAGTCGAGATAGAAATTCATTAAGACTTACAATTGCAGTAGTCTACATGTCGCGCAAGTACTTGTAACTACTTTCTCTATCGTTATCTTTAACAGGATAAGGGTTTTGTTGCTGTCAAATTCGATTTTACATTTTGTAGCTGGATATTACGATGGGGAAGGTTCGAAAACACCTGCTCTCTCCTGTCCTCTTGGACCTACTTTTAGTGATGCCAACCCAGTCTCTGGCACTTCTATCAACCCACCGTATGCTGGTGCAGCTTATCCCACAACGCAATTAGACCCTGAAATCCCTCTCGGGAGTAACCCTGGTGGCAAGACGTTGTTCTGGACCGCGTTCTCTTCTACTGATCGCGACCAAACGGATTTCACTAAAACCAACGATACTCACCAGCAGTTTCCCCAAGGGAGTCMGAACGATCCATATCAGGCATTCGCAATCCTTTTTCGCCAGTTGGCGGACCAAAAGGTTGCAGGATTGTGCAATGAGTGTGAGGAGTGCGTTTACGAAATCCACCATAAGTACAAGCACACTGCGTACGACAGTAGAGATTTCTGTATTAGGGCTGGACTTTGTGAGAAATCTGAACGCCCGAAGAGCCCAAAAAAGCAGACAAAGAAGACTTCTAGTATGTCAATAAGGAACTAAGTGCAAGATCGAAAGGAAGATAAGTTTCGAGGGTTCCAAGCATGTATTTGAATGAAGTTCTACTAGTAGTAGTACTGCTACTACTACTACTACTAGTATCTATTAGTACGAGTAGTAATACTACTACTAGCTTTAGTACGTCACACTACTACTACTAGGTACTACTACTAGTAGTAGAAGCTCCTGTAGCTAAATAGTAGCTGAAGAACAAAAGAACAAGAAGAATTTTTGATTCATGGTGATGTTGTGGTGGTGCTGCTGGTGCTGTGACGAGTATTGCTGGTGGTGGTGGTGTGCACCACACAACAGAAAAGAAATTATCATAAGAAATAGTAGAAGTAGCAACCAACTATTGTTGATACTAGTAGTAGTAGTTCATACTCAAATACACTTGTTTCTATTATTATGTTGCATTAGTATGATGTTACACTTTGTGTTGTGATTCTTGTTGCTACCACTATTACGTACTGTAGTAGTCCTTTTAGTAGCTAAGAGTAATGGGTGATTCCCGCAAACATATTACGTGATATGTCAGCGGGAATGCGTTTCAGTGGTACAGAAGACACAGACTGCCAGCTCAACTTACATATTTTCCCCCCATTTTCGGAATTTGGAATCCTGTATAAATTGCATGCAATTTCACAAAATTCCAAAGTGGCGGGAACTTTGGGATTTTCACTAAACCAGCTGTGTCTTCGAAACTTCGGAAACTGAATCCTTCTCCAAAACTAAATCCTCCTCCAAAAGAATAACAACAACAAAAACAGTCCGTATCCTCACTATTTGGCAATCGATTGCTCCTTCACAGTAAAAACACCACACTATTCTACAATCATGACCCCTCAGATGGTCTTAATTGCCTGGGCAGCTTCCCTTGAGGA